CACCGACATGCACGCACCTCCTCCTCCTTCGTCAGCAGATACCTGCGTTGTAGAGCAATTCAGTGCCCTAAAAAAGAACAAGCACCACTCCACACACACACTTTTTCACATATTACAACCTTATTTTGCAAAGGTAGGAACGGTAACACAGCATGGTCTTAGAGCCAAATTCACGTATGTTTTCTCTTACCCAACCTATCCCACCTCAAGCCAATTCCGTTTGCTCAGAATCAGACCTTCCTTGGTGGACAAACTTTCCTAGACCAGACAAAATGCTAGACCATCTTCTCCAGCTGGAGGCCGAAATCTCATTCCACTGCTTTTGTGAAAGTACGGAGACACCAAAACGTGCAGTGAATACAGGAAAGTTGATGGACATCCACGGGGCAAAACACTGCCCACAGCGCAACGCATGTGCCAGTCAAGCCTTGCTCCGAGAGCTGGTGTAGGCTGAGTGTTTGCTTAAACCAGACGTAGCTTCCACCTTGCCGTGTTTCTGCAAGCCAAGGTAAATAAGCTATTGCACAGACCAAGCCGATCCGAGGCGGTGCAGCCGGCAGGGGCGAGCCGAGCTCAGGACTCGCAGTGCTTTCCAGGATCCTCCCCATGCTGCGCTCCCACGCGTGTCTCCCTGCAGACACACCGGGTTCACGGGCACTGGAGCATCCAGCTCATTTAGGCTAGTTAGCCTTAACTCCAGAAGTCACGGACATCAAAACTTGGTCTTATCTTCTCATCACTGAGCATCAGGGCAGCATCCCTTCCCTGGACTTTGTTATTTTTGTCCCGATTGCTTCTTCCTGACCTCGCCTCACCTTGTGATGTTTATTGGAGGGGTGTATCAGCTATGTTCCCAAAAGCTAGTATTAATGGTGCACATATTATACACACTGGCATGTAAGAGGTGATGTAGCTGAAGGGATTGGTCCCTCTGCGTAGGTGGGATGCATCTTTGGGCAAGTCCAGTAATCCCCCACTTGCAGAAGGGCACTGCTAAAACTGCACGCGTGCTCCTGGAAGAGGCTTCCCCACTGCTTCACATCTGCAAAATGCTCAGCTCTAACTGTAAGCCTGTGAACCAGCACTACGGAGGTGAACCAGCGCTACGGAGATCATCCTGAGCTAAACAAGACTGCAAGGACAGCCCAAGAAAACGAGCACCAAGCTTCACGTGCTCGTGCTCCCGAAAGACAGGTTGCCAAAAGCCGACTGTTGGCACGAGGGGCAGGTGAGGCTCAAACGGGGCAGACCAGGTGCTCCACGGCGCGGAGCTGGCAATGGCACCTGTGTTTGCATCAACAAGGCAGAGGCAGAACAAAACTACCTCCTGTCAAGCAGGAAAGACCACACCAGCTTCAGGGTTCCAGCTGCAGGGATGTCAACTGCTCCCACTCACTGACAGCTTCATGGTCCAGGAAAGGTCCCTGGGGAGCTGGAGGACATCTTGCAGAGGGGCCAGGACACTCTTCGCCTTGTCAGACAGTGGTGAGCCCCACACAGGTCATGACAACACCATGATGAAAGGTTTGTCCTGCTTGGACCAGATGCAGAGCCCAGCTGAGCTTTGACTGCCGACCCTTCACTATCACAGCAAGAGCATGGGAGACCCACCACCCAGAAGGTCTCACCAAACAGCCGTCTGGTTTGTGCAACACACTCAAAGTATTGACAAGAAACTTCCCTGGAGCTACAAAGCTTCTCTCCTGGGATGGACTCAGGTTTCGGTGTGCCCAGTGGCACCTGCACCCAGCTTCATGACAAAGCCAACCACAGCATTATCAGAGCGTGCCACTGTCTGATCTCAGCTATGAAAACAGCGCTACAAATCTAGCCCTATTTCTGAAACAGTAGCTACAATATGCTTTCATTAAATCAAATTAAGCAGTGTATTTGTTTAAAATGTGCCCACCCAGAGCTCCACACACATTAATGCCATCAGTTGCTTCAAGCAATCGCCTAGCATTACACCCCTCGCTGTTGAGGTTATTTCCACAATAGTAATTAAATCCTCATTAACAATTTTCAATTATAAAGTAAACCGAGTGTAATAGCCTACATGGGGAATCTCAGCTCGTATTCATGGAGCCCGAAGACACCCTGCAAGGAAGAAATGTTAAGCACTGCAGACAAGCTGCTTCTTTAGCCTGGAGGTCAGCAGAGAGACTTGTCCAACGGGGATGTTGACAACCATTTGCAACCTGTGGTTTAACCACCAAGCACAATCCAGGCGCAGAAACACCACATGCCTGGTGGCGGCAAGCACAAGGCTGTCCGTCACTGGGCATGTGATAGATTTCCCTGATTTCTGTTCATTTCTTGAACGTCTCCTCCCCAGAGCACCCTTTTGCACAACATCAAGGTGCTCTGAAAAGGAACGTGGTGTGAACTCTTCTCATCTTTGCCCCTGCTTTTGTCGTTGCTAATAAAGCCTAAAGAGCAGACGTTCAAGCACAAATCCTCAACACACACCAGTCTCAGTCAACAAACCTCTCTGACAGCACCTAACCTAGGTGAGCACCACATCTCCTCACCACATAGACTTTTTACAGCCCAAGGAACCCGTCCCACTGCTGTCCAGTCTTGTAAGCCAACACCGCAAGTGCCAGAGGCCCCTAATGACAATTACACGGCCCCTAGTTGCCACTTGCCAGTCTCCAAACCCAGTGGGCATTGCAGGACAGGCAGCAGATCCTCCCAGGTTGCTCTTGGCCTCACAGGAGATCCCTTCTGCCCAGCCTTCTCCAGCATTTGCCGCCTCCACCTCTTCAAATTTCCGCAATAGCAAACCAACCCTGTCGTTCTGACGGTGAAACCATCAGTACCACGAGCCAAGGAGAAAAAAGGCACCCATAAATCCTTTCTCACTCTGGAAATCAACTGGGTTTCTTCTCTTGGCGGCACTAACACAGCAAATCTCCAGCCGCTCCCAATCTCCCACCCCCAGCGCTCCTCTGAACTTTCCCCAAATCTCTCCCACATGAATCAATCTGAAAGGCAAAGCTGGCAAAGCCTTCCAGGCCCCACCAACCGATTCCACCACCGTGCCATCAGGTCCCGCTTCCTGTGCTGGTCTCCAGGTGCGCCAGGAGAGCAGCTCCCAGTATATCCACTGGGAGAGGGGCTGCTTGAGTGACCACCCGTGCTTGGCTGGGGGGAAGGCATCACCTGTAGGGCGGCCCGGCTTTTCGTGGAGCAGCACGTAGTGACCCTGTTTAGCACTGTTCATTTTTCTCTCGGCTTGCGAGGTTTGGAGATTGGTGCAGATAAGCATCCTCAAGCTTGCACGCTTATCTGCACCATCTCCCAAACGGCTTTGATCTGCAGGATTTGGCTGCAGCTCTCAAAGTTATCTTGAGAAAGCTTGTTCTGAAGAGAGCCGTTCTTCTGATTAACAAGAAAAAGCTTTCTTAGTGGCTTTGAGCATTTTCAGCCCTGGCTGGAACCAGGGAGCACAGCAGTGTCTGCACACAAGGAGAAGGAAAAAGCCAAGCGAGCTTCTCCTGAAAGCTTCGCTTGGGCTCACTTGTCATTTCGGCTAAAATTTGAGGTCAGTTGTCATTTTGGCTAAAATTTGAGGTCAGTTATTTCACCGCCCTGCTTTTTTTACCCACTCTGTTTAATGCTGTATCACCCAACCCACCGTATGGGTCAGTCTGTCCGGGCAGATTCACGCTTTGTGGCTTTACATCGTCCAAGTCCTACGCAGAACTTTCCTGGGAGGAAAACTGGCTGGAGCGACCAGGAGAGCAAGACGCCGAAGGGCTGGGGGAGCTACGCGGGGTGAGGGAGAGGGATTGGGTCTGTCTAGTGCAAGTTTTAAAAGATACAATATTGAATTAAATAGCTGAAACAAATAGCCCCTCTCAAGACCTCCGATGAAGGAAACACAAGCCACACGTAAGTAGGTGTTAATTGAGTCAGACGCTAATTTTCCAGTTTACCTCCTGCTTGGCCAAAGCTTTAGGAAATATTCGTGGGGACTGAAAAGGATCGAATTTAACTCCTGCTCTTGAAAAACGCCAGCGTGGATTCCCCCCACTCTCAGCCCATCATCACCTCACGCAGGATTTCTTCCTGGTGGGAACAACGAGGGAGGAGGAGGAAGACGGTATTAAGGAAAAGCAGGAATTACAGAATTAGCACTGAACTTTATAGTGGGAAAACTACCCCGAACAACACCCACTGCCCTCACATAAAAGATAAATACGCATTAAAAAAACACTACTCGGGGAGGGGGAAAGAAGTGTGAACAGCAAAAATATGTACACATGTTTTAAATAATTTTTTTAATTGTTGAGGCAGTAATACTTGGTTCATGGAACTGCAATATACAGAGAGGTGAAATAAATAGCTTATATATATATAATATATATAATATAGCTGGTTTTAAAATATTCCCTTATCATTGGTGTACTAGGTCATCTTGTAGTCACTTGAATGTATTTAGCAGCATTCTCCAGAACTGAGCATAATGCAGGATCACGGAGCCGTGACACCTTATGTCGTCAGAAAGGTTACAGAAGATCGATGCGTCGAGAACTCCACGGAATCTCAATCACTGCGGCACACACCATCTTGTCTTGGGCCGGCGTGCAGCAGACAATAAATAGATTACTGCAAAACCGGCACTTTTCGGGGCAGGGTCTCAGTAACTTTGGGAAAGAACTTTGGTTTTCTTTGGTTTTCTTTATTTATTTTTAATAATTACTTTTTTTTTTTTTTTCCTCCTCTGGGGATATGCTTGAAAAGTTGTCCTTTCCAAAAAAGCGAGATAAGCACCTGTGTGTCATCAACAACAAGAAGTCAATTTAAATAGAGCAGTTCATTTTGTTTTTCAAGTCACAATAAATCCCTAACAGCTTTTCCCCAGCGTTTGCCATCTAGTCTTTTATTACTTTTTTTTAATTTTTATTTTTTTTTAAACACAATGTACAAAAATAGAGCTTCTTCCTTATTTTTAATGTAAAAATATTCCTCTGGTGCAGTTTTTTTTTTTTTGTGGTTTATTATTGTGACACTGTTTTTGTCTATTTTTAACTGGGGTTGGTGGGTCGTATTCTCTTAGTCCTCTTGGTGACTGTTGTGTACTTGAAAGGTTTCTGTATCTCCACTTGCCCCTTTGGGTACCTCTTCATAAAATGTACATCTTGCTGGTTTTCCCGGGTCTTGGGCCCTTTCCGCGGTCTCCCTTTTTTGGTGAATCCAACATACCAGCCCGAATATTTTGCTGACATCAGTGCCGTATAGTTGTTTTCTAAGACTTTTTCAATGAAGACACACTCCTTGCTGGTGCCATCAGGCTGAAAAATGAAAAAAAAAAAAGAAAAAGAAAAAATTCATTATCCAAATGCAAGCGCAGTGATCAAAATCCAATTTGGCATAAATAAAATCATCACATCTGGACCTTGGTTTTGGTTCAAATGTTGTTAATAGGAGCCATAACAAACATCAGCTGAAATAGAAATGAATTAAAAAAAAACAAAAACCCAAAAACAAAACCACGAAAGCATGAAGTCATCATTTCTTTTTTTTTTTTTTTAAAACACTCCTATCCAAGGAGAGAAAGATTTTTCAAAGACAACAGTTAAGTTTATCCAGTCCAGCTCCTTCAATTGCAGGCAAAGCAAGACATTTAGCTTTGCTTTTTCCATTAGGAAAGGAGGGTGAATTGAACTCACACCAGGGAAATATCAAAATCATGAAAAAATAAAAAAAACAGAATCTCATATGGGCCAAACAACAGCGTTGCCACCTCTACCACTCCCTTTTGATATGTTTTCTGAAATATTTTATGGGCTCGCATCCATGATTACCCAAATCCCACTAAAATCATTACAAGCCTTAGTCTAAAGCCTTGGCAGGGCTTCGCAAACTCTCCCCCGCAGCATCCCGGCACCACAGACACCGGGCAACCGAGCCGTGCGTGGGCCTGCGGGGATGAGCCGGAGGGGTGCCGTCGGCATCGAGGTCCCCGACCCCGCTCCAGTCTCCGAATCCCAATGGTTATTGTGGAGCTGCATTGCACGCGCCAGGCTTGGCTCCAACTCGCATCCCCTGGGCAACACCAGTGGTGGAAAGGGCCGTTCCCACACCAGAGCAGCCCCCGAGATGGGCTGGTGTCCCATCGGCATCCCGATGTGATGGGCAGCAGTGTCCTCAGCCACCAGAGCCACCCCAGCTACACTGCCAGAGGGGTGACGCACATGCCCGATGTTACACCTCTGCTCTCTCAGGGTTGCTTTTCGTTTGGAAGAGGGTTTCACCTCCAGTGGCAGAGGGGATGTGGTCCTTCATGTACTAGGTTTGTGGGGCAAGGTTTTGGGATACAGGCTCACTTCAGCCCTGGCTGCTGTCTCAGCTCTGGGTGTTCTGTGGGTTCCGGACAGGGATAAGCGCAGTATGGAGCATCATACGGGACTTAATCTAATGCTCAGCAAAGCCAAAGGAAGGATTTCCATCATAGTATGGAAGTCAACTCCCCAGTGAAGTCAAATAATGAGTTTTTCAGCACTGCGGGGCCGTGCTGACTGCCATGCCTACTACTCAACTCTCTCCATGTGAGGTAAGCAGTACCAGACGCTCTCAGCCATCTCACCCATCCTGTCCCTGGCGGGGACAGGACACCCACGGTAGCGTGACCAGTGCCATGATGGTCGGTCCAGGCTGCAGCGTCTCAGCGCAGGGGCTCATCAGGGCACGACGGCAGGGGTGAGGAGCCCAGCCCCGCACGTTTACCACCCCTTCCCCAAGGCCAGGCCAGCCCGCTCTTTCTCAGAAGCTTTCCTAAAAAGTCCTGCAGCATCACAGCAGAGTTTGGTGCAGTCTGTGGGAAGGGCTGGGGCTGCAGGACAGGAGGGAAGCCCCCCGCGCCGAGCTGGCTCAGGCTTCCCCACACCTCTGATGCCCAAATAACCGCGGACAAGCTACAAATGGACCTGCAAAGGGGAACCATCGGGGAGGATAACCCAAGCAGGGGCAAAGCTTCATCACTGCCAGCCTCCAGGACCAGCCATCCCTCCCCGGCTTAAAACCTCGAGCAGAGCTTCAATTCAATCGGTGCAACCATACGTGATGTTTACCCTAAAATCATTAATCAATTCTGCCTAAGAGGTTTTGTTACCGCAGGTAGGTCCCATGAAGAGGGCAGAGGCATCACAGCAACTTCTGCATCAAACACGCTAATCCAGGGCCCATGTTCCCCATATGTGCCCCCTACATGGGGACAAAGCCAGCTCTGCCATAGGACCGGTGATCTCCATGCCGGGCTAGGCACAAAGGTCCTAATTCTATCATCTGGAGTTAGAAGTTCACAAACGCCGTAATGAACGGCAGAACTGGGCAAAGCTCAGCGGTTCCAGTTCCCGGGGAGGTCGTTCTCCGAGCCCTGGGTTTGATCAAAGCCACATGAGTGGGGAAGGGGGAAATCAGTCGCCACCACGGGGTTCCACCAGGTTTCAATGGGAAGCCATAAAACCAGCCCCAGGTTGCTCAGGGCTCAGCCCACTACAAACCTTTCCCCAATGAATGGAGAATTTTTAAACAATACCGTGGCTGAGTTTCAAATCCACCCAAACCCAGGTGCTGATGAACCGACCGGATCCGTACCGCAGGGGGAGCAGGTAATTGGAAGGGCCGTCTCCCCCACGCTCGTGGAAAGGTCTTGGATTTGAGCCCTGACCTTGTTGCTAGGAGAATTAAGGCGTTTTCATGCAATTTGGGAGGTTTCCGCTTGTACTGCAATGTCAGTTTCTCACGGAAAACCAAGACTGGAATGAAAAGAAAACGTGTGTGTAGGAGGGGGAAGTTATTCTATTAATAACAAAAAAGTATTTACTTATACCTTCAAATTTGCCAACAGAGCCTAAGACGGAGATAGGAGGTGGAGGAATAACAAGGTGCAACTTCAGGCCAACCTCAGGGCTAATTTGAAGTAAACAAGGTGCATGAGATAAAATAACTTCGTTCTGGAAGAGGAAGAGCTAAGTGATTTGATAACATGAAATTACAGCAACATTTACAAGTACCTTGAGATAAATCAGGATAAGGACCCCGCTTCCCCAAACAGAGCATTCCTGTACGTGCTAAGACACGTCAGAGACAGACAAATTTTCGAATACTTACAAGATGATTTTACAGCATCTGTTATAATCCCCAATAGAATAAATCACTCGCACACATTACCTATACCACAGAGAGATGGACCCATGATAATCTATTTGGGGAAAAGGCAATTTATAACGGTTTTCGATAATTTCGAAATGTGTCACCTTAAAATAATTTTTAACTGTCATCACTTAAGGCCTAATCATGTCCCTATTTAAACGGCAGCAAAACACTCATTGGGTCTGTCACCCATCCCTTCGCTCCCCCAAAGAGAGGAGGACGGAAGAGGAAAAGGAGACGGCCTTGGCCGAGCATCGCTCCCCTGCTCCAGCCGCCTGCTCGCCCTTCCCCACCAGCTCATAGGGCAAACACTCGCTGCCGATACGGGGGGGCACCCTC